TTTCAGGCCAACCTCGAAACCCCACCACCAAGCCTCTCGAAGGCTGCCCCTGACTTCCCTCACTCCTCGAAGCGTGCTAGCCATGGCGATATGTATGGGAGGCTCAACGGCGGCCAGTTCTACATCACCGATGGCAAGATCAATGGCGATGCTGATGGGCGTGCTGCTTCTGAACGTCTCGGCCAGAGTGGTGACGAGAAGAACCGTGTTATCGTGCCAGATCAGCTGAGCTGCAATGGTGACGTGACCAACTGCGTGCAGTGCCGTCTTTCCCCAGGTTCCCCCCTAGGGTTTAGGCTTTGCCCCCCCCTAGCGGGTTCTAGGGTTGCCTGCCTGGGCCTCCTCGGAGAGCACATGTCCTGGGATGCCGAGGCCGATCCGCCCTGCAACCCGTTTGGGATGCACAATGGAGCGCGTCGACTGTCTTGGCCGAAGTGGTGACCGCAAGGCTTCTCCCGGTTCTCCCCTAGGGTTTAGGCCTTCCTCTCCCCTTGCCGGTAGCGGGGTGGTCTGTCTGGGCATGCTGGGTGAACACATGTCCTGGGACGTTGACAACGGCAGTGCCTCACTGCCTCTGCCGGGTTACCCGTGGCCCTTTGGGTTTAGTTCCTCCCCTTCCCTAGGTGGTTGCGACTTGAAAACCATGTGCAAGGGCCTGTGCACCAAAAATTTTGCCTTTGATTCGCTTCCTGCTTCGAGTGCTGCCCCCAGGAAACTACCAAGTGCAGGTCGAGAATTCTCGGAAGAGACTAGTATATCCTCACTTTGCTGTCCTGCATGTGCGCGCCTCGCTGATCATGCCGGTCACTCTGCAAATCACTGCCCGGCAACACTTGATGTTTGGGCTGCCCTGAAGGCCCACGAAGCTACAGGTCACGAGAGCTTGAAAAGGCCCGGCATATCCTTGCTTCGAAGGCCTGTCAGAGAGCGCCGCGACCACAGAGTGCAGCCCAGCATGTGTAACACTGCGTGTAGCACAACATGCACCTCTTTTGGTAACACTGCCCCTTTGGGTACTGTCATACATTCCGATTGCAACGCTGTCTTGCGCCAGGGCCTGTACACCGAGATTCTTGCTTTCGATTTGCCCCTCGACTCAAGCGCAGCCCCCAGGGACCTTCAGCGTGCAGGTCAAGATTTCTCGGAAGAGACTAGCACATCCTCACTTTGTTGTCCCGCTTGTGCGCGCTCCGCCGATCCTACAGGTGCCTCTGCAAATCACTGCCTCGCACCCAAATTTTGTGCTGCCCTAAAGGCCCACGGAGCTGCAGGTCATGAGAGCTTGAAAAGGCCCAGCACATCCTCGCTTCGCAAGCTTTTTAGTGAGCGCTGTATTCCCAGCTTGCAATACAACCAATTGTTTCCAAGCGAACTGCCGCAAAAATGTGCATGTGGCCAGAGTGCCTCCCGAGTCGCCCAGGGTCACTCCTGGCACCGATTTGACTGTTCTTCCTTCGCGGGATGTGATGCCTTCTGTGATGGGCCAGGTGCTCGCTTTGCTGGATGCGCGGGACTCCTTGGAGAGCTCGTCTCCTTTCAGGGCGAAAACCGAGACATAGGCCAAGTTTGCGCAGTCACTTGTGAAACCCCCAGCAGTTGCACGCTGTTGGGCTGCATTTCTACCGTGGGCTGTGCTGCCTTTAAACAACTAGGCACATGTTTCGTAGGCATCGACCACTGGTGCGTAAGCTTCAGCTCGCTATTGATGACGCTTTGCCACAATTATCTAAACGCTGCCCGTGTTGGAGAAGCATCCAATCCAGGCCCTGGTGCTGAGTTTGACTTGGGCGACCTACTAGGACCGGGCTTCACTGAACAGCTCCAAAATTTTATCAGGGCAGCTGTGCAACAGGCTTTGCAGGATGCTTTAAAGGGAATGAAGCTTGGGGGTCTTTTCTCACCTTCAAGCCCCAATGCCGCAAGTGCCAACGTTGCCGCTCCAGCTGTCAAGCCCCCTCGCAAGAAAGGCAAAGGTGCCGGAGCCGTTGTGCCAACACCCGAGGCTCCAGGTGTCCCAGCCCCTGTGCCGGCCCCCACTGCTGTCAAGGGCAAGGCCAAAGGCAAAGGCAAACACAAGGAAAATGCGGCTAACCTCAAACCCACCGGGGCTGGCAAATCACAGGTGCCGAACCCAGCCACGTCGCCCGACAAGGCTGAGGGCTGGACTAAGGTTGCGAGAAAGCCGGCGGGCCCACCCAGTAAGGATGATCCCTTTGTCTTGCGCCAACAGGACTGGTCGGACCCCCTTAGTTCATTCTCTAACCTAGCACGTAATCTTGCCAACGTGAAAGATGGTGAGACCTTTCGTGGAGTTATACTGTGCCCGGGCAGGGATTTCCAAACTGCTCGCACCATCCTTGCTGGCACCACCAAATCACATGCCATCATGCTCATTGCTTTGGCGCGCGACTTTGATAAGCCGGACAACCTCGCTAAAGAGCTCAAAGTGCAAAAGGTCCCGGGTCAATCGGACCTCCGACTGTGCTTTATGGATGCCTTCGTCTTCTACTCGGCATCGGCAGGACTCAAGGCACCCACACCTACAGGGTTTTCTGCCAAGCCACAGGCTGTGACGCCTAAGAAGACGAACTCTGTCGAGCGCGCACGATATACCTTTATGAAACGTCGGACAGCCTTCCATGGGAAGGCGGTTTCAAAAAAAAAAAAAAAGAGGAGACGATGCACTCTTCTTGATTCCACTGGATTGCTTTTCATGGACACCACTATTGATTGCATGATCTTTTATTTTCCATGAATTGCTGAGTGAATTATTCATGATCTCATGCCGTTGCCAGTTTCCTCAATCAGTGTGAATGAGGAAAACAAAATTTTGTTGGGGCCTTTTGAGGTTCAGGACCCTGCATTGAACCAGGGCCCCTCTCTCGACGTTGGGCTTAGCCCACCGTGCACGCCGCTGTCGCCGACAGCGGCAGATGGCAGCAGAGCTGAAAGATGGGCGAAGGTGATGAATCTGCCCCGTTCGACAGTAGGGCAGTGGCCTTTCATGCAGCTCATACTTGGAATGCTTATAAGAGATCGGTAGGCATCTTCCCGAGCCCTCCAGAACAAATGCATTCGCTCTTCAGGAGAAGCTGCCTCTTGCCTAGGCCGACAGGGCTCTTGCCCCCAGCGCCGGGTCCAGGGCCGATGGCCGCTTCATCCAGCTCCGGCCCAGATCTTGGAGCCTCGCAGTCAGCATTCCTTGCAGCGGGACTGAAGCCATTGTCAGCCCGAGATGCTCACCTAAGGTCTAAGGCCCTGGATGCTAATAGGAAGTGTGCCTTGAAGAAGTGGGTTACGCTTGTTTCCTTGGATTTTAACGCCTGGGGTGTAGCCAAGCAAGCCATGGGGCCTTTCGATCCCAAATTTGCCACAGGAGGCTTGGTGGAAAGTGTGCAGGACTGTCTTGCAGACAAAGCCACAGCTACCTTGCACCAACGCGTGGGACCCATCTTCAGATACGTGCACTTCTGGAAGCTTCAGTTCGTAGTGTGCCTGCCTGTGAGAGAGCACCAGCTCTACGATTACTTCAAGGCAAATCCGAATGCGGCCCCGACTTCGTTCAGGTCGCTGCTTATCGCTTTCAGCTTCGCCAAACATCTGCTAGGCTTGATCGTGTTGGACGAAGCCCTGAGCAGCGGGAGGATCGTAGGGCTTGCAAATGCTCATTACTCGACGAGGTGTGCAGTTAAGCGCAGGCCTGCTCTAACCGTGGAGCAAGTCAAGCGACTCGAAGCTCTCGTGCTCAGCCCCATGGCGCGGCCAATGGACCGAATCGCAGCTGGGTGTTTTCTGCTTATGATATATGGTCGCCTACGGTTTTCAGACATGCAACGTTCTTCAGGTTTCGCGATTGATTCAGCTTTGATTGATGGCGTGGAATCAGGGTACCTTGAAGGGCAAGCCGAGAGGACCAAGACATCGGTGTCGCTTGAAAGGAAGATCCGCTCTCTTCCCATCGCTGTTCCGTTGAAGTGTGTAGGAGGTAGGCCTTGGATCAGAGCATGGCTTGAGCTTCGAGAGGCAGAGGGTCTCGATAGTTCTTATCCTACACTTCCGTGCCCCGCAACCGGAGGCGGGTGGACAAGACTTCCGCTTAAGGTCTCAAGTGGAGGCGCCTGGCTGAGAAGCTTGATTCCTGGCGCGAGTGCAGCACCTGGCGACGTCCAGATCGCGACCCACTCTTGTAAGAGTACACCGCTCTCCTGGATGGCGAAAAGAGGCGTGCCGGCCGGCCCTCGTCGCACTCTGGGTTACCACGTGCCGCGTAAGGACAAGTCGTTAATCATTTATGCCAGGGATTCACTAGCGGCTCCATTGCGCGAGCTGGACCAGGTAATCGACGAGATTGCCGCCGGTAGATTCAAGCCGGATCTCACTCGAAGTGGGATGATAGCCAATCTTGCAGATCCACAGCTTCCACCTGAGAATGAGGAGGAGGCTGACGCCATATCATCGAGCTCTAGCGAGGCGTCCGATGATGAGGAAGAGGCCCCCGTGAGTGACGAGGAGCAGGCCTTGGAGCAGATCGCCGGTCAGTGGGGCCCCGAGCCCGGCGACGGGCCTTGGGCTCGTCACAAACAGACTAGGTTCTTGCACAAGGTGAGAGATGAGGCCGGGACCCACTTGAAGTGCGGTAGAGCGATCTCAGTGCGTTTTGAGATTTTAAGCGAGGCGCCAAGATTTATGTATCCTACATGCGCCACCTGCTTTCCAAACTCCTGAGGTTCAAAAGCCGTGTCAGGAGTCAACGCCACGCGTGGGCGAAATTCGCGGGGTCTGAGAAAAGGCAACATGCAAATGTCACTTTGGTCGTGGATGAATAACCAGCGCGATCTCGTAGTGACTGCTTGTGTCTTGGAAGTGCAGAACCACAAGTGCTGTTTGAGCGATGCTTGTCACGTGAATTGTGTGATGCGCTAGGGAGCTACCGATGACAAAAGTGATTGCAAAGCGTGCTGGGCCCTAGTCTGAGCTTGACAGTCTAGAAAGAAAGAGCCATGTCGTTTGGAGAGAGTGCGGCTGTCTTCAAGGCGAGAGCCAAGGACATTGGAGTTTCTGATGAGAGCTTCGCGAAGCTTGAGGCGGAGGGACTGACAACGATGGCAACTTTCGCCTTCTGTTGTCATTTCAACCCGTCGGCGACAGACGAGAAACCTCTCACCGACCTGGTAACCAAGGTTCTCGGTGCTGCGCCTTCCCTTAAGGAGATGAGTTGCTTTCGGCGTCTGTTCGCCGAGGCATACGCAACTGTTGCATCCGACATCCGATCGCAGGTGGAAGCAACAGAAGACTCATCGATCAAGAAACTAGCTCCAGCAGACAGGGCCGAACGTTTGCGAGAGCAGCAGTCCAGACTTAAAGGTCTTGACTTGAGGGGCAATATGGAGCCAGGCGACTCCTTGATTGATCGGGCTGTGGCGATCTACGAATCTGACAGACTCCAGTATGTGGAGTGGCAGCATTCTGTTAGCAGACAGCATGAGCTTCTTACAGGGCTCAAGAAGGATGCTTCGCTTACCTTGGATTCTGCAGGCGGCCTAAAGATTGCCAGCAAGCCCAACGTGACTCCTTGTGATGTGTCCACTGATATGATGGTTCGCTACGCCTTAGTGCGAAGGGGCCTAGCCTTTGAACAGGCGAACATCTTGGCGTACCATTTGCACGATGAGTTGCTTGAAAAGTACATGTCTTTCAGGCTTATGGACCCTCCTCCGAATCATGCGCGAGTGAGCTTGAAACAGATTGAGCAAGCTGATCGTCAATTCACCATGTTGCTCGCGGAACACACCCGCGGCGGCATCAAGGTGAAGGCAGGAGGATCACGGCCATGTGACGGCGCTTTCCGCAAAGTGTTTGAGAGCACTGAGTTTCTTTCAATGTTGACTCCGAGGCCTCTTGCAGTAGGCTCAGGAGCAAGCCGCGATGGTTCCTCAGGAGATGAACCCCCGATCAAGCGCCATAAGGGCAATGGCAAGGGCCAGGGCCGCGGGCGCGGGGGCAAGGGCGCCGGCAAGGGCTCAACCAATGCCAGAGTCCCGGCAGAGCTCCTCGCACTTGGGTGCGTGGCCGCTACGCCTAAGGGGCATGCCTTATGCTTCGACTATTCGCTAGGGAAATGCTCCCGAGCAGTGGCCAACCAAAGGTGTGAAAGAGGACTGCACTTGTGCGCAGTCAAAGGATGCCATAGAGGGCACCCAGCCAAGGATTGCCCTGCGAAGAAGGCGCCCTCGTCGTGACTAATGAGTCAGACGAGCGCGCATGACCCACCATCGCCAGTGGCGCACGGTGGGCTAGATGTCACACAGAGCTATGGCTCAACTGTCGGTATGGAACCAGCAGCTGAACAGTCGCTCAACGACTCCACTTGTTTTCCCCCGGAGCCGCCCCGTAAGGCGGCTAAATTAGATGATGCATTTGCGTTTTGCGAGTCTTTGGCAAGTCACTTTTTACAATCTTCCGACTTCAGTGCAAACAACATAGCGGCCATTTTGGACGCTTTTCCTTCCGAGGACCATACTCGGACCTGGCTGGAATCCGATGGCGACTCTAAGGCCATAACTGTCGGTGCATGCAACCGAGGAGGAGTCACCGCTGTTCGCAGCAACACGCGGCGCATGCCAGCAGTGGCACAGTATCTTGCCGCGTGTATCAGACTCGTCGCACCCCAATGCGAGTTCACGTCTGTGTCTGTGCATCGGAACTTGCAAGCTCCAATGCATCAAGATTCCTTCAATAGCAGCGTGCCTAATGTTGTTGTGCCATTGTCCTCCTTCTCAGGTGGACACATCTTCGTCGTGCATCCTGAGGGTCCAGATCAAACCTTCTACGAAGATGCATCATGGACAGGCTTCAAACTTGATTGCGCTACTCATGCTTGGGCTTTTGATGCTAAGCATTGCAAACACTTCACCTTGCCGTGGCAGGGCTCCAGATCTCTTCTGGTTGCGTTTACCGTGGGTCATCTCTCCGGTTTAGCTCCCGATGATAGGGAATTCTTGACCTCCCTAGGGTTTAAGATCCCCGGCCGTGATGTCCAGCAGGGCCCCACCATGAAGCCGTACCCTTTGCAAGGCTACGATTTGCGGTGTCCTCAGGTATCCACTGATTCGGCGCCGTTGACTCAACCGAGTCCGGCCTTCCCCTCCGCTGAATTGCCTGCGGACGGGCCTCTAGTGATCGAGCTGTGCGCCGGGTCCGCCATCCTCAGTCAGACAGCCGCCAGCCGCGGCTTTGCAATCATGCCCGTGGATCATGCTCACAACCGCCACACACCTAAGTGCAAGATGGTCAATCTGGACTTGACCCAGAGCCATTCCTGGGAGGTCCTCAAGTTTGTCATCAAATCCCGTCGTGTTGCCATGGTGTTTGCGGCTCCGCCTTGCGGCACTTGCAGTGCTGCTCGTCACTTTCGCCCGGGCCCCCCAGTGCTCCGCACCACTTCACATCCGTGGGGTGTCCCGTGGGCCTCCACCAGAGATTGTGTCAAGCTCAAAGCTGCCAATGCCATATACAAGCAACTATGCGCTTTTCTTGAATTGTGCGATCAGCACTCTGTGCCTTGGTGCGTCGAAAACCCCACTAACAGCACCTTCTGGGAGTTGCCATGTCTTGCGTACCCTTTGGCTCATGGTTTCTTCGCGCATTGCCAGGCTTGCGCTTTCGGCAGCGAACGAGATAAGAAAACATCTTTCTTGTGCAGCAGCTCGGGCATCTCTCGCATGGCTCTGAGGTGCCCAGGCTGTAAACAACATGCAACGTGGGGCCTTACTTCTGATGACACCTTCGCCACAGCGGAGGAAGCAGCCTATCCTCCGGCCATGTGCCAGGCCTTGTGTGATGTCTTTGAGTCGGAGGCTGCCAGGCTCAACTACGTGTTGGGCTCGGCTCAGCCACTTTTGGCTCGAGCCCATAAGCAGCCGCGAGGACGCCTACACCCACAGCTCTTGTCAGAGCACGCTGCAGTTCTATCCCGCCTCCTGCCCCGGGCCCCGCCTCTTAATCACAAGCGATGTCTTACGCAGGATGTGCACGGTGTCCCCGCAGGGAGCAAGCTCTTGCGTTCCGAAAATAGCGGGAATAAGGGTCTCTTCTGTGTTTTTGGGGTCTTTAGGAGCCCAGAGTCTTTCGTCAGAGAGGCCAAGCTGCTATATCATCCTTTTGACTCTCTTGCGCAGTTGCCGGACTACTTGATCAAATCCCTGTTTGAGCAGCTGACAAAATCCCCTGCAGAGATCTGCAAGTTGAGACTTCTTCGTCTGCAAAAGTGGAGGGCCAGAGCGACTGAGCTGGCGCCAGTCGAGCACGCTCACCGTGCCAAGATGCAACCGTCCGTGAAGGAGATCCTCGCCAACAAGCGGACGGCGCTACTGGAGGAGATGGCGGCCGAAATAGACTGGCCCGACAAGGGTCTCTTCTCTGAGATGCGCCAAGGCTTTCGCTTGGTTGGGTGCCTGAGCCCTTCTGGTGTGTTCAGGGAAGGAGGGTACCTCGCCTCCATCAGCGAATCCGAGTTGATGGAAAATGCAGACAGCATCAGAGCTTCTCTCCTGGCACGTGTGTCAGCCGATCCTCTTGACGAGAACGCCGAGGAGCTGTACGATGTAACTCTTCAGGAGGCTACCCAGAAAAAGTGGTTGGACGGGCCGATGACCCCAGGAGACATTGGAAAGAGATTCGAGGCGTGGATCCCGGTGCGCCGCTTCTGTGTTGTGCAAAAAGGACGCTTGAGACCGATTGACGACTTCAAGGAGAATCTTGTAAACCAAGCCTGCTCTACGAGCGAGCGAATCGTGCTTCAGGCGATGGACCATCTTTTATGGTCTCTTTCCGTGTTGTTGTTAAAGAACGGGCTTCACTAAGGGTTCCTACCCACAAAGACTGTCGGACACCTTTGTTCCTGGGCACGGTGTGTCCTGGGGTCTTGAGCCTGCACGTCGCGTGTGCGTGACGGCTGTTCCTGTACATTAACTGTACTGCACTAGCTGTGTTACTGTTCCTGGCAGAATGTTTAACACCCCGCCTTCGGAGTTAGCGAAAGTTCCTCGACTGAGGTGACTCCGACTTTTCCTGAACAAACAGTAAACACGCTGCAGTTCCTTTTCACTTGCAAAACAAACACTGTTCCTCATTGCAAACGTATGCGCACGTTCACTCGCAATCCTCTCCAAGGTTGCTCGACTGTACAAAAGACGTTCCTGCACTTTACCTAGATCACCACAGAAACAAAAAGGGCTGTGCCACGGTTCCTGTGTCCTGCTGCTTCTTTCCTCGGCTCTCTGGCCTCAGTACTGCTCGCGGTTCCTTTGCTTCACTGGAAGTTCACTTTGCCTTCCTCTTCACTGTCTTTAGCTTCCTCTTGGTCTTGAAGCTGTTCCTTTAGCCACTCTTCTTTCATCTTTGCTTGCGCTTTGCACTTTTCTTTTCCTTGCTTGTCCTTTGACGCTGCTTTCCAACCTGTTTCCTTTGATCCTGAATACCAGTACCACTGTGCCTTGGCTTCGTTCCACTTCCACTGGTATTTTCTGTTCTGGAAACTGTAGACTGCAAACCAGTTTCCTTCAAACTCTCCTTTTCCTTTTCCTTTCATGAACGATGCTTCGTTCACTGGTCCTTTGGCGGACAGTTCTGGGTCGTCCTTGTCTTCTTCCTTCTGCTTGTGCTGTGTGACGTTCGGTGGCTCCTTTCCTGTTGCTTTTCCTGCTTCCTGGCTTTTCCTCTTCCTTTGCTGGTGTTGTGTCAGGTTCTGTGGGTGCCTGCGACCCGGCTGCTGATCCTCTGCTCTCAAGCTCCTGTGTAAGGCTTGCAATCCTTTCTTTATCCTCTTTGCGTTCCTTCATCATCTCCTTCATCATTTCTTCAAGCTTCTGGATCCTGTCTGCTTCACCTGATCCTGTTGCTGTTGTTGCTGCTGCCTTCTTTTCTGCTTCCTTCTTGGCAATGTACGCTGACGCTGCCTTTTGATCTTCCTCTCTTTTCTTCCTGGCTTCCTTCTCCTTTCTTTTCTTCTCCTGCTCCTTTCTTTCCTTTTCCTCTTTGGCTGCTGCGGCTGCTGCTTTCTCTTCTTCCTCCTTTGCTGCTGCCGCTTCGGTCTCCTCCTTTTCCTTTGCTTCTCTCTCTGCTTTGGCTTTGGCTGCTACTTCTACCTCTCGCCTTCTCTCGGCGGCTGCGGCTGCTTCCTGCCTTGCTGCTTCCTTGTCTCTCTTCTCCTGCTCGTCTGCTGCCGCTTCCAAAATCAACCTTGCTTTGGCAATCTGCTCCTCTTTTGCCTTCTTCTCCTCTTCTGCTTTTGCTTTTGCTTCTCTTTGTTCCTTTGAGATCCTGTCCTGTTCTGCCCAGTATTTGCGATCATCTTCATCTCGAGGTCGAAATCCTGTGCTTTCTGCTCTTGCCTTTGGCTTTCCTTTTCCTTTTCCTTCCTTCTTTCCTTTTGTTCCCTTCTCGTGCTTGTACGTGTAGTCCTTGTCGACCCACTGCTTTTCTCCTGTAACTCTGTGTTGCCTGTAGATCTCGCCGTTCTCGGAGTATTCCTTCCATTCGCTGGCGTAGTCGTAGGGGTACGGAAAAAGCTTCTTCTCCTCTTCCTTTTCCTTGAGCCTTTGCTTGCTTTTGGCGTTGATCTCCGCGATCTTCTTCTTCCTTCTCTCTTCCTTTGCTTCCTCACTTTCTTCTTCCTCTGCTGCTGCTGCTGTTCCTTCATCGGGGTACTCCCCGGGATCTTCTCCTCCAACGTAGCTGCTGACGTAGGCCTCGTTCTCGTTCTCGTTGTCCTGCTCTCGTTCCTGGATGCCCTCGAAGTAGCCTCGGTCCGAATATTCCTTCCTTTCCTGGGACGTAGGTGACGTAGCTCTCGACGGTGCTGTTCCTTGTCCGTGTCCTTCACGACGTAGTTCACCTTCTAGTTCTCGGTCCTTGGCTTCTCTTTTCCTTTGTTCTTCTTCGTCTTCTTCCTCTTCTTCTTGTTCCTCTTGCTGCTGCTCGTAGAAGTCCTGCATCATCTGGTTCAGCTGTTCCTTTACGGCGTCACATGTGCCTAGGACGAAGGCCATGTGTTCCTTGACCTGTTGCCGGTCTCTGTCGTTCTGTTCGGCCATTTCCTGAACCTGGTGCTTGACGTCGTAGATTTGTCCTGTCAAGGACTCTACACAACCAGCCACGTGTTCCTGGCTTTTGCGCAAACGCGCAGCTTCCTCTGTGTTCTTCCTGATCGACTCCGCGATCAAGTTCCTTTCTTCTGAAG